ATAATTGCTCAGCTGGAACTCAGATTTCTTTTCCTAGGCAATGAATAGTCATATTCCCAAAAGGAGCAATTCATAGTATGCACCAAAGCTGGAACTTGCTGAGTTTCCGCTTCTTTCTGGGGATTATTCTTACAAAGGAGTTTAAAAAGGCATAGAAATATTGCTTCAGAAATTACACATTTGCAGAAAAGCATTTAATCTGTAATTCACTTGTGCCATGCATTAACAGCATTTGTCTGTGTCATTTTCTATACTACTTAATTTCAGCTATAGCTAATAATTATATATAGTGCAAAACAAATTATATGTCATTTCGGAAATGTGCTTAACTGTGTCTCATCAGTCCATTAAGGAAAAAAATTATAACCATGTAATTGGGAGGGGAGAGAGTGTGCACGTTAACTCTAAAAATGATGTTATAGCATATTGCGGTTAGTTACTGCACTGAAAGCATGATACTAGCCCATTTAAGCATTGTTCAGATTTTAATGACAGTATAGTTTGTCTGACGCCAATATTTTTTTTTTCTGGAAAACTTGCTTAAATATTCTAAAAAAGAGCAATGTAGGCTTTTAGCAGTATATACCTCTCTTACTTATCTGAAAACAGCGGGTTGTGTTTGCGCAGTGTGCAGCTTTGAATGCACCGTGTGATACATTGTGCTGCAGCTCCAGATCTGCGTTTTTGCGTCACCCATGGAGAAGCTGAGGCCAACAGACCTACTCAGAAAGTGGGACACGTACTTGCGGGTGTCCTGCCTGTCTTTGGAGGGGTCACCAGGGCTACGACGGGTCACAGTGAATTCCTCCTGTCTTTTGTGTACCTGCCGAAACCTTTGCTTATTTTCCATCTCTTGCCCTTTACTTGGTGGTGGGTCCTGGAAGCTGCTGCCTTGTGGGCACAGCAAGCTGCAGTGGGGCACAACTGTTTAAGAGCTGCAGGGACGAAACTCAACTTTACCTATGCTTCCTTTTGACATCTGAAATACCAGCCAGAGGTCCCTTCCAACCAGCCCTTCCACAGTCTTGTGGTTCTGGCTGTGGCCGGTCGCTCTTGGGTAGTTCAGTGCTTTCAGGTACCAGAACACTTGGCACGATCCACACACAGTGGTTTTGTGCCTGAGAGCTACCAAAGAGAATTGGTTTGATGAGAGAGAAAAGGCCTTTCATCACTGCCACAGAAATCCCCTCGAGGCCATCCTGATTCTGGAAATACCAAAAGAAATGTTGGGAATGTTTTTCTATGGTACCTAGGCCTGAAGTGAGGGGAAAGCATGCTTGGAGTGGTATTCCAAAGCAAGAAAGGCCTCGTATGGGGTGTCTCTGTACAGAACTTAAGTCTGTCTTCAGACCGTTTTGAGACACTATGTTGAAGTGAGTATTGCTGAGGATGTTCTGCAATGTGACACCATATCCTAGAGGAGGGGGCCTACAGATACACCGACAGTTTGGGAAAAAATGTGCAAACTCTGGCGGCATCCCTGAGAAGCAGAAAAGCTGCCAGCTCGCACAGTTTGCCCACAGTGCTGCATAAATGAGGGTGCCAAATCCTGTGTGGGATTTACATAGGTCTTTTGCTGCATATGGAAGGAGGGAGTCATCCCTCCATATCAGCGGGGGCTTGAAGAGGCCACATGTAGCAGGCGAGCTCCTCTCCCAACGCAGTTAACAGGATGTTGGCCGCTCCGAGCCATTAGTTCAGGAAGGCAGCGGGTAGCTGAGTGATGGGCACTTGGTCCCAGTGGAAATGAGGTACAGTCGGAGCAGGGTGAGTGAGAAGGCTCCATGCAGCTCGTGTCGTCCTGCGCTTCGGCATGGCTGTGCAAGAGCAGCCGGATTTGCCTTCACCTTTCGCATGTCCCTGGGTTGGTAAAATTGTATCTTCATACATGCATAGAGCTACAGCAGATAAAAAAATCTGAAATAACCAATTGCCGGTTATGAAAAGCAAAAGTATTGCAATACTCGAATAAGCTCTGGTACGACTTTCTTCACATTAAAGTTGTCATTAATATCTTTATGGAAAACTCTCGTGGGTTTTCTTTGCTGCTTTTAATCTTTTGTGGGATCTTCTCATGTTGTTCAGCAGTCAGTTTGATGTCTTTTCTTGAATATTGGGTGCTGGGTGCATCAAAACATCAGCCATGCAAGTGATCTTGTCTCGTTACTATGGTTGTAGTGACATCTCATGTGGTTTAGAGATTAGGCAAAATACAACTGTGCTATGAGCCCTTCGATATTTGCATACCATATTTACTGCATTTATCATATTTTACAACATGCAGCAGCTCAGAGTCTCCTGGCCAGAGCCAAAGTGGAAGTTGCCGCATGTTTAAGCAGCAACCTGAAAACATCTGGTAGTCTGAATCGACAGCAGTGCCTGTTAAAATAGCTGTCTGACATATTCTTTTATCATAGAGCACAAATTTTTAGTTAACCTTGGGAAAAGGTTGTAGGAATGGTGGATTACCAAAAACCATTAACACAGTATCACTCCAGTATCATCTCAAAAGCATCGGAGTTGTTCTGACTGAAATTCCACTCCTCTTTCGCTTTACTTCAGCTGTTTGGTGAGGCACCAAACAGAGAAACTTCCAGCCCAGGAGGTTAAGTTTCATCCAGGTTATAAACAACTGGCAGGATATTGGTTAGTAAGAGACAGTGATAACCGTGCCCCCCACAGCTGCTGTCTAAGTGTGTAGAAATACACACATGGAAGCTGGTAGAATTAGCTAGTCTTTGATGATGCAGTTTACATACAGCCCACATATGGTGCCTGAATACACCTCAGAAGTCGGTGTAATGATTTGTTACATGAATAACAAGTATGAAAATATGCTTATGGAAAGATGCTCACTTCATCTGTTCTAGCTGCAGTAACATTTTAGACAGCATGATAGTCATTGCAGGATTGGAAGGCCGAAGAATTCATCTGTTCCTTGTTTCAGAGCAGTAGGTAGTTGACGTTGAATATGAGTGATGATTATTCTTACTGCAAAGATCCTATTTCTAGGTAAAGAATGACAAAGCTTTGTCATGATACTAATAATAAGACATAGATCACACTGTACTAGGTGCCATGCAAACAATTCAAAAAGGTATCAAAGCCTGAAATGACAGAAAAAAAATCCTATGTATAAATTGGCAAATGGACCTAATCCATAAATTAATAGTAGAGTAGGTTCATGCTATATTTGATGAGGACATCACTTCCTGTGTTGGTTTCACCTGATAATGGAAGGCAGCCTAGTTTAGGAAGAAAATAGAAAATAGGTTTTGTAATAACAAAAATACTCCTGCAGCATATATAAGACAATTAGCCAATAAGAATGTGAGTATGTTTTCAGCACCCAGCTTGAATAGCAATTCTTGAGAGAGGAGCAATATAACAACTAGCACACATGAGATTTTGAAAATTCTTACCCAGGACTAAAAAGGAACATTTGCTGAGATTTTTTTTTTACATTGATTAAATCAGGTACAATCCAGATCATCCTTATTTGGGAAATACTAATTGTTGAGTTCGTGTGGGGACTGGGAAGTTCTCTTTGCTGTTTAGCCTAGCAGAAGAGTATTTAAGAAGCGATGTGGCTGTAAACAGGGATCAAGGGAAAGGAGAGCAAAAACATCAAATGGTGAAAATGTGAGACAGAACTGTGTTGTCCCAGGACCAAAGGGGTATAAGCTGGCTGCAAATAAATCCAGTCTGGTAGTTAGATAGTCTGAGACAGTCCCAACCTTTAGATAGTCTAGGCTCTAAAGCAAGTGAAATCACATGTCAAAATTACTCATTAAAAGAGGAGTGGGAAACAGCTCTTTTAACTCTTATGGCCGTAATGTTATTGCAATAATAAGAGTGCTGAACGCGAAAGCATATCCATGCAATGTTGTGACAGCTTTCTAGGAGGAGATGATTTGTCCCAGCTGCAAAGTAACCACATTCATTTTAGTCTGTAAAAATAACTTTGCTGCTCTGAGGACAGAGTTGATTGCTAGTTTTCTTTTTCCCTTTTCCCCCTTTTTTCCCTTCATATACCTAATTATTTTTTTCATTATTACTTGTTCCACATGGTTAAGAAAGGCAGTATTCAGTTTACATTGCGAATTGGCAACAAAATATGGGAAGGAAAAAATGCGACCTGGCTTGGCATTTTCAGCAAAGGAGTGCAGAAATGTGAACCCTGTTCTCAATAACTGTAGCTCTGTAGAATGAATACATTCTACTATTCTGCTACTGTAGAATAACTACTCCTCAAATACTCTTTGCTCAAACAAAGGCTTTCAGGGCAGTCTATCAGTTTATAAACATTTTTAGATTTGTGACTATGACAAATGTCTGTTATGTGGCAAATCCAATAAGCATAAATATCTTAAAGGGTATTGCTGTTGTGGAGCAGCATAAATCTGCAGCTCTGTTTCTTTTTTTGTGTCTCTGTTACCTGGTAATTGCCGTGGAACAGTGTGCAAAATGAGGTAAGCTGTTCAGAACTCACTGAGTGTCCACATTGCTAAGCAAAGATTCGAAATTACATCCTGCCGTGCATCTAGGGGTAGTATTGGATTCCCAACTAATGAAGGTGCTGCAGGTTTGAGTGTTTATATTTTTGTTTATCGTAAAGCCAATGTGTTGTGAGTAAACAAAGTAGGGTTTTTTAATGGAGTTTGTAAGCAAGCTGGTTATACGGTACTTCTCTTCTTAGGGAAAGCCGTGACCTCTGCTCAGGCTCGCAGTTGGGATCAGATGGAGGCCTGAGGACTTAGCACGGTTCCGCTCCAAACACTTGGTGGCCGAGACCCCTTCATTTGTCCCAGCGAGGGCCCCCGTTGCAGCACGAGGTGTGAGCTGAGTGACAGCCATGGCTTTGCGCCGCGCTCAGGCCATGTGCCAGCACGTGCCTTCTCTGGGAAAAAATAGCCAGCAGATGGCTTTTCCTCTTTATCGCATATCGTTTTTAATCATCCCTGATAACATATTTGTCCCAGTTGGGGAACTCTCTTTTCTGGTGTGCGCAAGCGAATGGCTGTTGGTCTGGCGTGTGGAAAACTTCAGCTGTGCCTTGCAGGCGCGCGGTCGTGTGTTTAATGCAGGTTTTCTCTTCTCTTCGGCGCAGGGCCGTATCTGCAGGAAAGCTGGCAAGTCAAAAAAGTCCTTCAGCCGTAAGGAAGCTGAAGCCACGTTTAAGAGTTTGGTGAAGACCCATGAAAAGTACGGGTGGGTCACCCCGCCCGTCTCCGACGGCTGAGGCGGGCGGCCGCAGCGCTAACCACGAGTACTGTGACATCTCCTGCGTGCTCCACACCACCCATCCTTTTCTGTTCCAGCTTCAGTTAGGTACTGTGAATGTCAAGGGGACACCTAAGTTATTTATAAACAGATGTGTTTACAAAGGAAGAAAGAGAGAGAGAGAAAAGGGAAAAAAAAAGGAAAAAAAAAAGAAAAAAAAAAGCTGTTCAGGATGATATTTCAAGACTGAAGACCGATCGTCATCGAAGTCACCCGAGCGGCGGTTGAGACGGCATCATTAGCCCCCATACGAACCACATTGTCTGCAGCTTCTTTCCATGACAGCAGCACCAAACAGCAGTACTGGGAGGTCTGTCCATTGCTGCTCAGTTCATTTAAATGTAAATGAAACCGTTAATATTTAATAGGGAAGCAGTGCATTGCAGGTACATGTTTGCTGTGCTGTTTATCTTTGTCTCCTAGCAGGTCAACATAACTTGAAGATTTGTCTTTATGTGGAACCGTGGTCTGCTGTGACTAAATTTACACCTTATTTGTGCTCTATATATGACCTTTAATTCGTAAGTGGAACAGAATTACCATGATGAAAGGTTCTGGTGTTGAACATTTACTGAGTGGAATCACCCAACGGGCTGCAGTCCGCCATCTGTGCTGATATTGTGGTGTGCTGGTGAGAAACACACCAGTGCAGTTAACTGCGAGTTAGGAGATTTTTCTTTTTATTTTTTTAATTTTTGGAAATCACGCACTGCAAAGCCTGGAGTGTCCAGTGGCAGCAGAACCGTGATTGAACCGTCCAGTACCTTTTACAGTAGCATGTGGCCTGTCAGTTCTGCAAAATGGCAAAACAAATGGAAAGGGACAAAGCAACCTTAAAAAACAATTATCTGCTTAACTTTAAAATGATGTGCCAGTAACAGAGTAAAACTTTTTAAAGCAAATGAAATGGTTTGTAAAATGATTTGCATGACTGGATTCTTTTTTCTTTCTACTCAATAGACATTGTATGTACTTAGAGCCACCCAGTATCTGAGAAACCCCCCTGATGTATATAAATCTCTTATTATTTAATCATTAAATTTAAGTTTTCTGGTGAACGATTCAAAAAACTTTTTAAGGGACTCCAAAAAATCTGAAAGTAAAGTTTAGAGCATTATAAGGAAAGCATTAAAAAATGTGGAATTGAAATGGAAAACCGTATTGGACACATGCTGAATAAAATCACCAGTATCGTTTTCATTGCCTCAAGAATTCAATCATTTTGGCCAACTTTTGTGTTCAGAGTTATTACTTTAGTAATTTAGTACTGTGAAATTCTAGAAACCTTACAGATATATCCATTGTGGTACTACTTTAATTGAAAGTACAATATAAGGTTGGTTGTAAGACTTTGGGGGATAAGAAGTACATGTTTGAAAGCACATCCCATTGTACGGATAGCGCGAGACCAAATGGAAATGATTGAGCAGCTTCTGGTCAAGAGCACTGAGGGACAGCAGAGTCACTAGGAAACTAGTGGGTTGTGTTGGGTGTCGGATAATTTCCAATGCCAGTGGAAGCTGCTGAGAGGCTAGTGCTGCAAGCAGGAGGTTATTTATTTGGCTTCCTTAAAAGCTCTTCCCTCCCCAGCACAGCCCAGTTGTGCCGAGAGCAGCGCGAGGATGCCATAAACCTTGGGTAGGGGGTATCCCTTTCTCTGCTGTTCTTCAGCTCATCTCTGGCAGTGGGTTGTTTCGAATCTTCCTGAGAAGTTCAACTTTATCATTTAATTAAAGGGTTAGCTAGAAGGAAGGTAGCAGGTGGATTACTACTGCTTCCCTCAAACCTACTTATTATGTATCTCCTGAAGGGTGCTTTAAATAGCTATTGCAAACATCATTGCTAAAAATCACAGCCGCCTTCTGCCCGTAGGAGGTTCTCTGCATCGCGCAGCGTCGTGGAATAGGAGGAAAGGCAAATAGAAAAAGAAATGAGAGTGCTTTGAAGCAGCAGAAGCGCAGGGTGCATATGATAAGCTACAGCAACCACTAGTGCAGAAAGAAGGGAAGACTCAATGGATAAAGTAGGGCAGGATGAAGTTCCTAGCACACCAGAAATAGGAGTGACTCTCCTGCTGTTGAAGCGGCAGCGCGCGGAGAGAGCAGCCCGTGCGCGGAGGAGACACGGGAGAAGGGGGAGAGCAGGGAGCACAGGGGTGATGCTGCAGCCTAGGGAGGCAGGGAGACCGCTACGAATGCAGTTAATTAAGGGGTTCAGAAAGAAGGGTCATCTCCTTTAGGAAAATTGGTGTGTGCTTTTTGTCTTGCTATATCAGTAGTTTATGTATCCATGCTATTAACTAAAGAAAAAGCATGAAGCAACATGTCTGGTTAAACAAGAGGTTGGATTGCAGAGCTGCTCCAGGTGCCTCTGTGTTATGCAGAGGAAGCTCTAGTGAAGAAAAGATCCCTAAAGGTCCCTCCATCTGTGTCCCAGCAAGTGGCGTCTCCTTCCTCCTCGCTCTGCCCTCCCGGCAGCTGAGGAGCGTGTTGAGACGTGAAGCTGCGAGGGGGAAACACGCTCTTGTTAGCGGAAAAATGGAGCCAAGTCTCGGGCCCAGGCACTAAACTCAGGCAGGCCCAAAGCAAGATAGTTGAGCAAGTCTTTGGTTTTGTCAAAATTCCCAAATGTCAAAGAAGTGGTGGGATTTCTTCTGCTTATGGGAGACTGCAATATTCCCCTTCATCCGATCCCAGAACTCTTATGAGATCTGGTAAACCAGCCGTTTCTCCAGCAGTCATTATATTCATCGGATCAAGAATACTGTTTTCCATCTGCTGTCCCCGGAACACTTAATCACTCTGAAACTAGCATCTGGGGAGACGTAAAGTTATATTAGGAGGCTACACCTTGGCTTTTTGGGTTACATCTTTTGAAGTACCCTCTGTAAGTCAGGAAGGAAGGGAGGGAGGG